ATGATATAATATATCATTATCATATTTTATAATATACAATATACAATATACAATATACAATATACAATATACAATATTCAATATACAATATACAATATACAATATACAATATACAATATACAATATACAATATACAATATACAATATACAATATACAATATACAATATACAATATACAACAATTTGTACATAATACAATTTTATATAATAAATTGAAAATAACATATATTTTATTTTTACGATATATATTATTTTATGTTTTATGTTTGAATTATTCAATTTATTGTGATAAAAATTAATATTAATATTATAAATAATAATAAAAGTTAATTGTTGAATAAAATGTAATATCATTTGAATTATTTTTTAGACGCAATTAAATAACAAACTTGGACATGTTTTGAAAGTGCCATCAATAAAAAGTATTGTTGATTGGCAAATAAAAGAAAAATAATTTTTCCCCAAATTAACCATTTCTTTATCACTATATAATAACAATTCTTTTTCTTCATCTGTAAAAACAATTTGATCGGTTGATGTTGGGTTCGGAGCAATTTGTTTATTTAATTTCACAAACCTTTCTCCAGTTGAAAATCGTTTGGTCGAACCCAAAACATAATTTTCAGCGACTATTTCTGAAGTTGTTTTATATGTCGAGTAATCGCTTTTTGAAAAATCTCTAAGCAAACACGTGTAGTAATCATCAAAATAATCATAAGTTTCATGTCTGTGTTCTTTTTTACCACGAAATTCAAAATTGTCTAAATGACCATATTCATCTCGATGACACCAAATTATTTTCCGCATACTCTACAACGAAAAGACCCGGTAGCGCGATCTTTTGGAGAAAATTTATTACCGTCAACATAAGGCATTTCTTCGCCTCTTTCAGATTGTAATATAACAAAATGTGGAGGAGAAGGAAAATTTGATTATGGATTCTCATGGAATTCCATTTTTTTAAATAAATGGTTTTTGTATTTTAACCCCCATAAAAATTACTAGGTTTTACTATTTATAATGGTTTTATATTATATAATCATATTTAATTAACGATAAAAACGAAATATAATTGATGTTTAATGTCATTTAATATAAAAATGTTTTTTATCATAATATTATATAATATAAAACATGAACAAAATAATCATTTGTTGTTTTTTGAATAAATAATCTTAAAAGCATCACATGTATATATTTATAATAAATAATTATTATATTTTATTAATATAAAATATAGTAAATATAAATATTTTATTTATTGTATACAAAAATATATTGTTGAAATTTTGTTGAACTTGTGTTGAACTTTTGTGAAATTATAGGGGTGAATTCTCGGGGGGCGAGTTTGTAAAGGGGCGAGTTTTCCCCCAATCAATTTAAAGTTAGGACAAAAAAGGCTTCTATCGACAATATTCATTCTGTTACATTTGCAACTTTATTAAAATATAGTTCGCTTTGATACATGTTTTGATAATGAGAAAAATTCAAAATCAGTTGTTGTTAACGACATGGAGTTTTTAATAACCATAGTTTCAAGTTTAACATCCAATGTAATTGTTTTGTATTTTGAATGATAACCGAAAGACTTCTATGATGACTATTGAATGTAAAAATATCATTATTATTATTATTTGTGATTATTGGTTGTTGTTTGCAGTCGAAAAATAGTTGATTCAAACACAAATAATTATCTGCATAGTCATTATAATATTTAGATGCACCAATTATATCCGTTGTAGTTTGATTCAAATTTGTCAATTTGAGTGCTCCAAATTTGGATTCAACAGTTAACCCAACAAATTTTAGTTCTTTCTAATGCTTTTTTAATATCAGCAATTTTACTGATGGTTGTAAATGGAAATTGTCAAAGATTCAATTGATAATCCATACACTGTATTGATTGTTATTAGATTGGTTGATGATATCAGACTCTTTCTTTGTAATCGAGTGGTTTTACTTAAAGAAATTATCAAAAATACTCATTTTAAGTGATGCATTAACGTTGTGATCAATCACAAATGTTTTGAAATTGTTATTTTAAACTTTAATTTTACATTTCACCATTTCTTCATTTCTTCAGAATGAAAAACATCAATTACAATCAATCGAGTTTAATAAAGTAATCAAATTAGTCGACATTAAAAGGGGATATGCAACTTCAATGGATGCGTTTATAACATTATCAACACAACTAATTTCGACATATACAATGTTAATATGACCAAATGATGTTGTTGTTACTTTTGTTTGTGTCGATGTTATTTTAGATATTTTTATTCCCAACAATGAAATTGTTTCCATCTGCAGATAAAGTTGTTGAATTCAACGGAGTTGTGTCACTGTTTATAACATCAATGTTCTTCCATTTCAATGTGATTGGGAATTCTCCACCTTTTGGTATCCAATTTCTAGTCTAAATTGTTTAGTTTATTTCGACAGTCGGGGTACATTGAATTGAAGTTACAACGACAATTTGGTAACTTTGAACTTTATAAACAGTTTTTCAAAAGGAGGTACCAAAATGGCCCTATTTTTGAAGTAAATGATTCCAAATACAATTAATTTTGTTTGACATTGTTTTTCTGATTGTTTTTTTTTCAAAAAAAGAACTTGTCTAAACATTGAATTTAGACCAATCTAATAAATTGAAATAATTTTTAACAATAAAAATATTAAATAACTTACTACTTCAAAAATTTTGCTTAACCATATGTTTGTTTTTGGTGTGAGTAAAACCGACTTTTTTTCAAAAGTAAATGTTGATGTTGGAAAATTAAAAAAACTCTCAATTTCATTAACACTCACAACACAAAGAAATAGTCGTTGAAATAAACAAAACCATTTAAAATGCGTGTTGTTTCAAAGTTTGTTTTTTAAAAACAGACAACCATAAAATAACAAAAGTTAAAACAATATCATCACATATTTTAAAAAAGTGAAAACGTTGTAATTTGAGAGGTTAGATATAATTATCTTACCCATTCGAACACTTGTCTACAACCAAAAGGTAAAAATGCTGTTTTTTTTTCAAAATCTCAACATTGAAAAAGATAAAATAACAGTACTAGAAAATTGTTTAAGTTTGTTCAAATTTTTCGTTTAAATCCCGTATTTTTAATTGAATTTCATAACTGTATTGGTTTTGAGGGTTAAAAAGTCGGTATTGTTTTTTCTTTTTTTAACCGAAAATAATAAATATAAAAATATAAAACGGGAATTTACTATAAACTAAAAAAAGAAATTCGGAAGTGGGTTATTTTTTAAATTTAATTAATTAATCGGGAAAAGTATTCTAAATTATTTATACCTAAAATTAAACGTTTTTGGGTTTTTTGACTTATTATTGATTAATAGTGGCACAGAAATAGACTAGAATAATTAACACAAATAAAATTTGCCTGTACTTTTTGAACAAAACAACACGAGAAATTTTTATTTCAATTCTCTTCTTATTATTACTTCAAAACTGTTGGCATATATGAATATTATAAACCCAAAACAATTTAACATTTTAAAAACAAAGAAGTTTATTATAACACAACCTAATATTAACTATAATTATTGTATTAAAAAACTGTTGTATATAAGTATTTTATTTATTAAACACCTTAACAAAATCAAATTTTAATCTACACTTTTTGAAATCACTATAAATTGTTGTACTCTTAACTAAATATGACAATGGAAAAGGACGAACTTATCGCTAATGCTTTAAAAGCTGGTAGGCACTACAAAGAAATTCAAACACTATTCAAAACTTCTCCAAAAAGAATTTCAAGAAG